TCCCCCTACCAAAATGGAAAGTCTACACCTATGATTACCAGCATTTTTTAAAGAGTTGATTCTGGGTTATTTGAAGTTGGAGTTAGGCATTATTGATAGTGCAGGTTGAAAAGCAAGTAACACTTTATAATGAAGTGTTTGAAATGAAAGAGCAGTCATCTTCTAGAAAGATTAATTTTGAATTGATAAGTAACTTTGCCATAAATCTAGAGAAAAAAAGGAAACTGACAGAGAGTTTCTGTTTGCCAATCAGATGTTTGGTATGTGTAATGATATCATTGATCATCAAATATCATTGATATGATATGTGAATGCCAATTTCCAATCCAAATACCCTCTCTGGTATCTAATGGAAGGATACCATCATTATACATATTATTACATGAAAAAATGAGGTTGAAAAGAGCTTGCCTGTAATTTTATTGTTTGATCTACAAAATCTTTCAGCTAATGGGGCATCTTCTACAAATGACCCTTAAAGTTAGTTTAAATAACAATTTGTACTCATTGTTATTTACTGTATATTTATAAAGTATTTACTGGCAGAGCTATGAACAAAACTGCCTCTGTTCATTTTCAATAAATCAATGCTTAGTATGTTTTGAGCAGTTTGGTTCTGCCTGTATTACTAACTTTGATTACTTTGGACGCTTAACTTAAAAATAAATTAAATAATAAGTAATGTATCATCTACACCAGTAAATAAATATTTTTAAACTTGCATAAGATTTAGTTATTAAAATAATCAACATAAAAGATAAGTAATATTTTAAGTATTTATTTTTTTAGAACAAAATATACTGCAATATAAAAAAGATAAAGAAAAAATAACTATTCAATTACATCAGTATCATTTGTTGACACTTTTGCAGAACTTTTTTCATCATTGTTTTCAATTGTAGCATTTCATTTTCCTTTATTCTCAGATGTTAATATCAGGGGTAGAGGATGGGATGGCCAAGGATATTAGGGCGTGGGTCCCAGAGTGCCCTGTTCTGAACGTTGTGGGTTCGATTTCCCCCTGGGTCATTTAATTTTCATTTCTGGTTGGCCCCGGGAAATGAATTTTGACATTCCAACTCAGGTAAGTGTGCAGTGGCAACCTCAAGGTAGCAGGCAGGGATAAATAAAAGGACCATGTAGCCCACTTGCCAGACTAGTTCCCTCCAAAAGTAACAGTACCAGTAATATCAGGGATACCCAGAAGAGGGTTTCGTACCTCAAGTTCCACCATCAAAATTTTCAAGGGGCCATATTTTGAGAGGTTTTTGGATTTTTGTGGGAGGGGGAATGAAAATTTCAAACCAAGGGTCAATAGGAAAATACGAAACAGATCGCTGTTAGTTTATACATAATAATCCTAAGTTTATATAAAATAATTACATAGTTTCTATTTTTTTTATTTAAGCCAACATTACACCAATTTTTGCACTTCAAAATCCTACAACGGCGATTCGGCTCGTCGAGCCATTTTCAAGTCAATCATGTACTTGTCTATTATATTTCTTATGTAAAATACATGATTCTTCTCATAATAACCAGTATCACGCTCGTCATGTCTAATTGTATATGATCAACGTCATAATTGTATATGATCAAAGATTTTTCTAATTTCACTTTTTCTTACACTGTTTTTAAAAAGAGGTTAGGAATAAAATATCTTGGGAGATGAGGAAATGTTCAAGCGCCATTGACCTTGGAAAGGATGTGCACCCCTGGTTAATATTAGTATTTCTTTCTTAATTTTCATTGACACCATGTGCTGTTGTGTTGAAAATCGTCTAGGAAACAAAGAGGTTTGATCGGTCAAAAGTCAGTCGGTTATCGTTTCTCATCATTCATCGTGCCGTGATTCCGAGACCAATGTAGGTACCTACATTCAATTTGGATGCTTGTTTGCTAGCGTTAATACAACTATTGTGTCTTTTTCTAACGTCAACGTATGACAATCACATTTCTTAATCCTGTCATGAAAATACGAGTCCCATGTAGGCACACACTTTCTATTTGGGTGTTCATTTATTTAATGGCAATGTATGACGTTCCTTCGTTATCGTGTCCATAGGAGCCGACTATTGGCTTGAGCCCCCTGAATGTTGCCGTAGTGGAGGCTCATAAAAAACGGGTCCTACATAGGCGCAGCCTAATGAATGAAATAGGAAGAAACATAAGCTGATCTAGTGAATGAATCTGATTTAGATCCATCTGCTCAAAACAATGTGTGATCGGCAATGCATGAATAATGTTTTCGATACGTTTCTAAGTTTTGTTGCTATGGAATTTCATCTAGAAATGTAACTGAATATGTATTTGAGATTTTGTAAAACGTAGTGTTTTGATTTATATTGTGTATATATATATATATATATATATACATATATACATATCAGTGGTGCCCATTCCCCCCCAAGGTCGATGGCGCAAGTACCTACCTCTCCCTCCTTTTCCAATGATATTTTATTTCTCACCTTTTCTTAAAAACAGAGGTGTAATTCTAGGTAGGTAATTAGTAGGTAAGGTAGAATTAGAAAAATCTTAGATCATATACAACTATACTTTCTGCGGTCTGTTCCAGGTTTCACTCTTGTCCCTGAGCCCCAAAAATTCATAACCCCGTTGAAATTTGTCACCTCAAAAATTTTGATGGCGCAACTTATATACATATATTATTATTTATTTTATTTTATTTTTTGGACGACACTGTACACCATGAAGAACTTAGACCGCTCGATTTGATTTTTGTCCTGACAATATTGCTTGACGGAACAGGCAGCCTGAAGAGAATGATCCAATCTCATGTTGTGACCTATGAACCTTGATTTTCTTGATGCCGCAGCAAACCATCCTTGGTAATCCAGATTTGGCGCTTCGACTGAGTGACATACTAGTCCTAACAGCTCATATACCAATACGTAGCCCTGCAAGGTGGTCTAAGTTCATAAATAGCGTTGAGTTTAAAAAGATCATACTATCTGGCAGAGCCTTAGGCGAAACTGTCACAACTCATCTTGGAAAATATCAATACTAAGTATATCTTATGGTTCAGTGTTCCCCCAACTAGGCATATTCTCAATAATTGATTTTTTTTCATTAATTTTTCTTTTTATATTTTTTTGGTAACTTTCCCATAAAAGCTGTCAAACTCCAATCTTACTAAAATATATGCATTAACTTTTTTTCAGTAGAGAACTTGGGACCTGAATTTCGTGACCGCTAGGTAATGTGATTCAGTAACACCTGCAGCTTTCCTTATATAGACACTTCTAATATATAAGGGATAGCTCATAGTCCACAAACAGCATTAGTTTTGCTCCACGTAGAAGAAATTGTCACCAGGTCACATTGTTCTATGAATGCGATTATGCTAAGAACACAACCTTGTGGGATACCATTTTTTTTTTTCATGTTTTTTAGATGTGTTTCCTAGTTTAAATTTAAAATGGCAACGAGCAAGAAATTTTTGGACATAGATCAGCAAGTTTTCCCACTCAAAAATTCTTAACATATTCAGGTTTTCTAGGTCCTATAGACATCCTGTTTTATATCTTATGGAATTGGCCAAGCTCACATTTTGAATCAAACAAAAGCTAGTCAACTGGATGGTCCATTTTTTTTAAGTATGGTCGATTTAATGGCATAGAGGATGACTTCCGTTATTCCGAAAAACTTTAATTTCCGAAAGCTAGATCAATCAGTTTTTTCGATAACATCTTGTCTTCCTACTGAACATATCTGGTGCATTAGTGAATTTGAACAGTGTAGGGGAATGGTTTTTGCCATAAATATAAAGGTATACACACCAATCTACGCTTTGGTATAAGGAAGCTCGGTACAAGAAGAAATCTATATCACTGCTGAAAAAGTGCTAATTATGGTTATAACACAGAAAACCAATTTTTTAATTAATTTAAATTGAATTAAATATGGAAACCGAATAAACTAGTTTTCACAGGAAAGTCTAACAACCATAGGTCAGTTGTTCTCACAGATCAAAGAGATAAATGGTCAGGGATATAACGCTTCGAAGGTTGGAAGAATCCATCCACCCTTACTTGGCCATTTCTGGCATACAAGTAAATAAAAGTAAGGCTGAAAGAACTGTTCTCCCATTGATTGTTTATAATATTAAGGATAACAAAAAAATTATAAGTTCGGCATTTTGACGGTTCAAATGGGCGTATTGGCATGTAACATTATTAGGCTTAGTAATGAACGCATCCTTAAAAACTAAATTAGTGCTGAACCAATAAATAAATGTCCGAGGGGTAGAGTGAAACATTGAAGGAAGATTTCTGTATTTGCTGACCTTTCCACAATTTATGTTTAGATCGGGGTTGTTGAACAAAGTATGTTTACAGTGATTTGTGGTAGAACATGAGACCTTTGACTTTTGCTAGGTGTTTTATTCTTATTATTCAAAATGTATGTTTTAAACATATTTTACTAACCGAATAGAAAATAACATACTGCCTCTAATTATAACATTGAATTATTTAAAAAAATATAAGATTGAATTTATATACTTAGTTAAATTGGTTGTTCTTTGTTAATAAACAATAAAACGTATAAAAGTTGACTGTCATTTCAATTTTCAAGATATTTAAAATTAAAAAAATTGAAAACTTGAAAAGGGACTTTAAGAAATCATAAAAACATTACTGGAGTAGTATGTGAGATTGGTAAGGAGGTTTATTCAGGAAACTAAAAATTCCATTTTACATATTATATTATATTTTATTACAAACTATTTATATAATTTAAAGAAGCAAATTAATTTTTAAAACAAAGATTAATCTTTGTTACATTAAACTGGAACAGTAAAATTAAAGCATAGTTAAAAAAATGCTAGAATAAGCTTTTTATTATTTATTAATGTGGCAAAGCTGGGCACGGCACTGTGAATTAGGATTCTTAGCTTTGCTCACAAATGATTCGTTTCGTTCGATTCAATTGCTGAATTCCCTGAACTTATAAATATATATATATATATATATATATATATATATATATATATATATATATATATATATAATATATATACATATATACCATACATATGATTATGATCTTTAAAAAAATATGTCTAATCCAGTGACATTTGCTTTAATTAAGAGATCAAATGTCAGGAAATTATTTTAAATACATATGTACAATAAGCAAAATACTTAATGTCTACAAATAACACAAAAGAAGAATATCAACTTCTGTACAGTGAAAGCTTCATGACATGTACAACAATAATCAACAATTTCGATTTATGAATGTATATAAATAGATATAACTTGCAATAAGAGAATGTTATTCTGCCATTTTAGAATTCTGAAATGCGTTTTCTAAAAATTTCCATATCTAATAAATTGAAGTAAAAAGCAGTGCTGACAAGACAGCATGTGTTGAAGTACAAATTAAAAAAAAAATAAATAAATGCCTTACATATTTATAATATGCAATATATGGCAAACTAATGCATTATTAAATAAGGCAATGCATAATACATCGGCATATTCTGTGGAAATTTTTTATGAATACAGAGAATTAAGCCATAGTAAGTGTGCCCGCTCCAAGCCCAAAGCCTACTCCACGTGGTCCAAAATGACGTCCATAGCAACCTCTACAATAGATGTCCCCATCAGGGCCATCATTAAGATTTGTAGAATCTAAAGATCGGCGACAATCACCACATGAAAAGCATCTCTTGTGCCATATCTGAAATTGGAAAAACAATTGTAAAAAATACTAAACATTATGAATTATATTTCATGGATTTGTATCAATTTAATAATATTGTTAAAGTTATATGCCATGAGACTTATGAATATTCGACATTGATTTAAAGAAATTTCAAACTTTATTGATAATTAATTATTTCTTTTACTCTTCATCAATGATGATTAATTATTTAGATAATAACAATGGTTTTGAGTTTATCATTTTTTTTTCCATACTTGACTCTACAGAAGATTTGTGCAATTTTCTTCAATGGATAATTAAATTTACATTGTGGTAAAGAATTATAACTAAAAAAAATTATAAATATTTTTTGCTTAAAAAATAAATACATACCCTGTTTTTGCTAATCATTTTCTCAGCTTCATAAACTTCAAAGCCACATCGTAAACAACCTTTGCCTTCAGCCGCTTTATGGCCAGTTAATGGCTTACAATCTGAACTGAAAAAATTAAGAAATATGCATTACATTTTTTACAGACAGAAAGTATACTGGGATTTGAAATATGATAATGTAAAAAAGAACCAATTCACTTATCATTTTGAATTATTGTGAAAAACATTTATTATGTACAACTATCAAGTTCATATAAAGAGTCAAAAATAATTTAGAACCAAATCATGTAAAAGATCTTTGATATAATAATAAAAAAAAATTAACTATTATCATTTTTACACAATGAACACCTTAATATATTAACTATAGGAGATGATGCCATTAAATATGTAGGTTAATGTGACTAAGTACATGACACTCAACTAGTATGAGTTGCCCTTTACAAATCATAACTTCTGAACATAGATTTGAATTCTTTAAAAGTGAAGTATAATTAGTTATAAATAAATTACTTCCAATCACTTGATTAAGTTTTATCTTAAAATTTCTGCTTTTTAAACATAATTTTGTTTATTTGATTTTAATTATTGTATAAAAATCAAATAAAATAAGAAATAAGTCTACTTCAGAAGCTATTCTTCAAAATACTTCGTAATTTACATTACTCTTGACAGTTATCTAGTTTTTAAGTGTTGTTCTGCAGGTATCCTGGCAAAACATTATAGTAAGAGTTAGTCTATTCATCTGTTGTGACAAGTAGGTGTGGTACGCACTTCATATACTATAATATTTTACTGAGGCAATAGCTGGCTAGTACATTGAAATATTTAAGGATTTGTTCGATATATTTACTCAATTATGTTCCACATCCCAATTTTATGACTTTCACTAAATATTTATTTTAAAATGTGAATCTCAGACCAACTTTAAATTTTTAGGATGATTAAATCAGTAAAATAGTCCTCTAGAAACAAACTGTTTTGCGCATTCCCCTAAACAGCTACTACTTGAATAATGAGTTCTTCAATCTCATTTTTTCTAATTAAGGAATTAATGTGACAATAAAGTAGTATAAGACTCCTAATAAAATGTTTCTTTTATTTTAAATATTGAAATATGGCTTTATAATAATAAATAAAACCTTTATTTATATTGGAAGTAATGGATAAAACAAGAATATGTAAATGTAGACCGCTTGAATATTTATATTATATTGATCCTGAAACATTGTAACCAATAAGTAAGAATATTAGTATTCACTTTATTCTCTAATATATATACATACATATAGTTATTTAAGGTCAAACATTGTAAAATCTTGAGTATATTTTACCCACATAATCCTATATCTATCTTGAATATTTTTATACTGTGCTTTTATCCTTTACATAAATAATTACTTAATAAATATGAAAACTATAAATTTATTTAAATTATTAATTATAGTTAATTATTTGATTGGAATTTATGTCTCTTGGCCTCAAACTTTCATTGAAAATGAGATTAATCATTCCCAGATAGATTTAGTTTTTTAAAGAAATAAATTGATAGTATCAACCAATAAATATGTATTTATTTCTACCTCAGCTTTATTTTTTATTTTCTAAAAAAAAAAAATATACTAGTTGATACATACTAAGTAACAGTTGATTCTCCATTGGTGGAAATCAAGGTAGGAGAGTGTCCATAGCCAAAGCCTTTTGGTCCAAAGTTTTTGCCATAACAAGCTTTGCAATAAATTTCCTTATCAGGTCCATCACAGGCCAACATAGAATCTAGTGGACGATGACATTGGCAACAATTGAAACAAATCTTATGCCACATCTAAACATAACAGAATTATAATTATTTTTTAAAATCTGTATTTTCACATCATGAAGACATTAAAATGAAGATATATGCAATTTCCATATTGCTACAGCAAGTTAGGATTTTAAATTTAAAAAAAATATATCTGTATATTTATCTTTAATTAAGTCGTTGTAACTGATTAAAAGTATTTACAAATTAATCAACTAAAGACTTTTACTGGAATTTCAAATCACTATTTTATAATTTATAATCATTAAATTTTAATTTGATCAAGATAATTTACATTAATTAAATTAAAATTGTCTAAATATTTGTTAGAAATGTGTTGCATATAAATATTTCATATTCATGCATATACATAAATCAATTTATGTGTGCTTAGTGACATAAAGCTTTAAAGTTATCAAGTTTGTTCTTTTATTCCTATGCTACTAAACACAAATATACTTACTGTTCCTTTAGCTAATTGTTGTTCTGCAGCAAAGACCATACCACCACATCTTGGACAACCTTGTCCTGGAGGGGCCTTAATAGAAGTTGTATCTGGATTGTAGAAGGGACGTCCTTGTGAAATTTCTTCCTCCCTAAAAAAAACAAAAGAAAACTATGTGTATATATACTTCCTTTTGTTATGGATTATTTGTTTTACTGTGATTGATTTATGCAAATAATTACTTTTAAAATATATCTACTACTTACGTGAGCCCATCAGTTTGCAGAAATCCAGAACCACAAGCAAATCCATAACCATGAGGTCCCCATTTTTTTCCATAGCAAGTTTTACAATACACATCCTTATCAGGGCCATCACAAGCAATTATTGAATCAAGTGTCTTGTTGCAGTCATGGCATTTAAAGCATTTTCTATGCCATTCCTAATTAGAAATCAGATCATTTTACTACTTATTAACATAATTAACTTATAGTCTTTATAATAATTAATAATACTTTTTTATCACCTTGCACTAAATAGCTATATTTTATAAAATATACATTGTAGCTTTATTAATATTAATCATTATTGTAACATCTCATAACTAAAGTCTAAAGAAAAAATAATTGTAAATATGTGCACTTTAAAGAAGTTGCAAGTTGCTCAATTTCTCTTTAGGTGTAGTTAGTTCTATTCAATTATCAGTTTTCTTGTGTACATGGGTGTGTGTATGATGTATATATTTATTCAGTGAACTATAGGAATTAAATGTTTATTTCAAAACAGAAATTCTGTTATTAAGATACTTACACGGCCTTTAGCAAGCACTTGTTCAGCTGCAAAAACTACGCCTCCACATCTAGGACAGCCTTGTCCAGGTGGAGCTTTAATTACTGCCGTGTCTACCAATGTAGTGCGTGGAGCAGGAACCTCACTATAAAAAGAAATATAATAACTTGAAAATAAAAAAATTAAATAAGTCTTTATTAATTGTAAAGACTCTTTAAATTAGTCATTTATTATTTATATTTTATGAATATTGTAGTTATTATAGAAGTTAAAAACAACAAACTAATGATAAATATGAAACAAAAAATCAATAAATGATAATACTTATTTGCTATGATTTGGTGCTTAGGATAGCATACTCTAAAAGTTATTAGAATAATACTCTGAAAATTAAAGTATAATAACAAACAGAAAATAGATTCTTAGAAAGAAATTTGATAGTGCTATATCATTTTAGTACTGTCTTTGGATTCAAATGGGTAGGTAACAGTATATAGCACTTGTTGAGTTTTAAAAAATATAATATCAGCATGCTTATCAGAACAAAATAAAAAAAACAAAAAATAAAAAACAATAACAACATCAACAACTTAATTTTGGGAGTATAAGGTTTTAAACTATATATATAAATCACAATGGACATCAGTGATTTGAAGTTATAACACAGCAAACATAGTAAAAAAGTGCCATTCTAAGACATGAATTGGAACAATAAATTCATTCCTTGGGTCACAAAATTATCATCTAGGATTTTTTTTTTTTTGGATTTTTAAACTCGGACAGGGTAAAACAATTCAAAAAATGCCCATTCTACCTGTTGTCATTGATATCGCAAGTCAGACCCACAGCTGACCCTCCAAACCCAACCCCTCGAGGGCCATATTTTTTAGCGTAGCACACTAAAGAAACAATATTTATTCATAAATTAAATTATACTTTCAATGGAATGTCCACTTTTATACTTTATTTTATTATTATTCTAAATTATTTTAAATGTTACATTATTAATTTCTACAATATATTTCATATAAAAGTGGAATGAACTTAAAACTATATTAGATAGGGTGAACGAACCCATTTGTCATAGGGTCACTCTGCAATGCACCACCTCCTTGGCCATAGCCGTAGCCTTTGGGCCCGAAGCGCTTCCCATAGCACACTGCAAACCCATGCAACATCACACACTAATGAAATCTACAAATTTACACATTCTAGGATACAATGATTAAATAAATACATGAGATATCAAATACATTTAAAAACATAATCAACCATGCATTTTTTAATTTTAAAAGATATGAAATTCATTTTGAACCACAGTAGCACTTTGGTTCAATCCTTTCTTTTATCTATCAGGCAATCATAATTGCATGTTAAAAAATAATAAGAATACCATAGTTAACTAATTCTATTATAAATTAAATATATTACTAGTTTTTATAAAGTGATAGATCGCTTCTATATATATCAAACATCTTATAATTTATCAAAATATTATATTAATTATAGTATTTTCAATATTTTTGAAATTAGGGACCTTAATAAAAATCTATTGAAACGTTTTTGTTGGAACTGAAAAGAATAAATAATGAAAATATTAATTCAAGATCATTTCAGTTGCGAAAAATTCAATCAACTGATTTTAGTTGGAATTGTGAAACGTTTTTGTGTCAAGGTGGCATAATTTTTAATTATTTGTGTTATATTGTTAAAAAGGAGGGCTTGGAACAATTTAAAAAGTTTCATTTTAACAATTTTAAAGAAACTTTTTTTAAAATAATTTATTAAGAAACTTTTTTGTAACAAACTTCTGAGTTTATTGTAATAATTTAACTTTTCATTATTTATGTTCTTGAAAAATTGACATTTAATGAGAAAAAAAGAGTAAATGGGCTAATATTTCATATATATTTTCTCTTGAATGATTGCCTGATTCTTATGTTTCTCTTGTTTTTGCAGCTAAAATGTATTGTACAGTAAAATCTATTAAATAGGAAAGATTTATTTTTTGTCAAATGAATTGATTTAACAGTACTTTTAAATAAAGATTTTTAAAATAAAATTTCTATAAAAACTTTCAATGAGGAAAAATTTTTAATTCCCAAAGAACAGAAAAAAGTATTTTAAAATAGAAATTCCAGTCATATCTATCAGGTATCATTAAAAATAAAAGTTTAATTTTAAATTTCAAGCCCTGGTAAAAAATACTCTATCAAAACAGAAAGGTTAAATTTTTAAACCATGATTAATTTTTTTTTAATTAGGGACAACAAAATAGTTTTAATATCAAGTGATTTTTTTAAAAATTATATTGACGAAGTTTCAGTTTTATAACAGAATTGGTGTATCCTGAATTCATTATCTTATAGTTATTTAATACTTTGTTTCATTTTTCAATTAAGGAAAACACAATTTGAGTGCTATTTTCTATTTTTTAAAATTGAATCTATAAGTTTAATTTATTATACCTTTGCAATAAATATCCTTGTCTGGTCCTTCACAACAATTGACAGAATCCAGTCGTTTCGAACACTCAGCACATTTAAAACACTCCCTATGCCAGCCCTGAAACCATGCACATGCACCAAACAAAAATTACAAAAATAAGTTTATATGTTTGCACATCAATTAAAAAATACAATTATAGGTAATACACATATATATAAAATGAACAAACAATTGATCAACCTTTGGAAAAGAAATATGAAAATAATAGGTGACTTTTCTTTTAATGTTTTACTCTTGATCACAAGCTAACATACAATTGTGAGTGGCTGTTCAACTTTTAAATAGCCTAAATATTTCCTTAAAGTTTTATGTATAAAACATTATTGCTTACATTATTTCAAAAGTTTTTTTTTTAATTGTAGCATAGCTGAAGGAAATGGGATATATTTTTTCATTGCTTGTAAATACTACTGTTTTTAGTAATTAATATTTCAAAACTAGAAGTATAATATAAGTAAAAATACTTGTTTTTATGTGCCTAAAATAATGAAAAATAATTACAAAATGAAATAGTAGTTAAAGATAAACAAAGTACCTCCTATTGAATATAAAAATTTACTTCTATATATAGAATTAATGTTTATATTTTATAAGATCAGATTGGATTTGTATGTTAAATATATGTTTTTGAACATATAATAAATATTTAATAACTTAATTTAAAAAAGTATCATAGCAACATTAATGGAAAGGGAAGGTTTATTTTTGATGCTAAAGAAATAAACTTCAAAATATAACGAGCGAATTGAAATTCATGCTTCATAATCAAAGGTGTTTCATACAAACAGAAACAGACAATGAAGTCAAATGCAGTAGATCGCCATGCCATGTATATTATAAACGTAACGAAATTGGAACTTACATCGACAATAAACTTCCCTATCAGGTCCATCACAATGTTCCAAAGAGTCTAGTGTGCGCTTACATCTAACACAGTAGAAACAGCTCCTGTGCCAACCCTATGTCATAGTCAGTGAAAATATTCCTTAACCAGTAAATTTTCAAAATTTTATTTTTATCGTTTAATAATTTTAATTGATAATCAAGATAAACTGCATAGCAACCAATTTACCTGTTATTATCTATATTATTGTCAACAAATATTTGACTAAAAAGGTCAGAACCATAAATCAGTGTGATATTTAAAAAAACAAAAACTCTGAATAACGCAATGTCAAGATACTGGAATTCATCATTTTAATATATAAGGTTAAGAAATTATATTAACACAGCATTAAATTCTGTCCATTAAATTCTCAAAACCAACCCTCACATTTTAAATTTAATTGATACATTTCTATGGTGATAGGTTTATTCTTACTAACCATGTTTTATATATTTTAAGGCAACTAAATTCAATTATTAATACTATCATTCAATTGAAATTTTTAATTTATGAATCTAAAGTTTAAAAGAATTCACATTTTTATTAGATGTGATTATATATGGCATAACTGATCATTTTATATCGATGATTGTTCTAAGAATAATTTTAGGTTTTCAGTGAATCATTGATTAATTTGTTTATGGACAGCAATTTATACTGAAATTGGAAACTGAAAGTTATTTAATTTACATATTACATCTAGTAAATTTCTAGCAATACATATGTCCATGATGTTTTTCATTATTTTATATACAGTTCTGATGTTTAAATCTGCTTTTAGTATTTAAATATTTGTACGTGCTACGTTTCTCAATTATAATTGTGAAAATAATATAAATTTTAGATTTTTATGGACAAATTTATTATTTCATTTTGACTGATCAATAAATAAAAAAATCATGTATTATAAAAATGAAATGTCTCAATACTCACCCTTCCTCTAGCTAACATCTGTTCAGCTGCATAAACATAACCACCACACCTTGGGCAGCCTTCTCCTTCTGGAGCTTTAGCAATCGCTCGAACAGGCATAGCTCCTCTAGATCTTTCCCTAACCAATTCATATTATTGAAACAAAATTATATAATGTTAATAAAATAAGAATAAGTAAATAGTGGTTAAAATTAATAGTGTGTATTAAGTGTCATTTGTATTAAAACTTTATTTTAAAAAATAAAGACTTAAGAAAAAAAATAATAATAAAAGATAATTTCTATGGAACTGATACATAATTATAAATAATAACTTATTATAGATAATTTTCTTCCTTTATTTTTTTTCTTTTTAATAATAGCACCAACAGTTTATGTAATTAGATACAAAATAAAAAAATAAATAATGTTATAAGCAAATTGAAAAAGAATGAAAAAAGTGTTAATTTATATTAATGAATTAATTTATAAAATGTGAAGTGATATTAGTTTTGTGTAGCTTTATAAGAATTTTGAATTTTTACACACCAATTCAAACACTTATAATTTAAGCATAAGTATCCAGCGATGATTAATTGCAGAAAGCTGCAAAATAATATAAGTACATTAAGTAAGTAGAATAAAACAAAATTAAGCCACTCAATGAAATTCAGTGAATGATTTTATAACAAGGAAGTGTTATATTTTAAATTTTAATAATAACTGTTTCACTGAATATTTTAAGTGAGGGCATTTTCCTTACCTTAATAAGCAATTAGAACAAATATAATTTTTTAGCATTAGTTGATTGATATCTAAGATTAACCCCCACTTTTACTGATTAAAAAAAAATGTAAGTTTCTAATTGTTAACTTTTGAAGACGACCACATAATTCAGGAAAAATGTCAGGAGCGAAAAAAAAAAAAAAAAAAAAACAACCTTCAAATAAATCTTAATGTTACTAATACATTTTCACTGTAATATATTATTTTATATGTTAATGAAGAGAAAGGGTTGTAATTAGAATGAGTATGGAACTATAAATACTTGATAGTATTTGTTGTGATCAATTTTACTTTTTTTTTTCAAGGTGAAATATTAGAAAAGTTAATTCATTAGAGTGTTAGAACAGTTAGCATGGACAGTTAATTTACAAATAATATTATTATATTAAGCAAATAAAACATTAAACAATATATATATTCCTATGTAAGCCTTAGCCATGCAGCCACTGATATTCAAATGATTCTCACCATGATGAGTTATCCCTGCTTTGTTTTCAGGTGAGTCAATAGTTTTTGGCGATGATTCCAAGAAGGGACAGGAATTTTAAGAGGTGGAATATAAACTTGTTTTTGATATTACAATAAAAACTTTTCAATATAAAATAACAATTTCTATTTTTATTAGGCTTAAACCAAAAGCTTATGCATAAGGGGTAATTAATAATATAGTTAATTTAATTAGATATAGTCTTGAATGGGTATTGTAATTATGTAGAATTCCTTAAAGTCTTTTAGGAATTGATAATTTGGAGAGTTGTTTTTATTTTTTATTTTCATATATAAATAAGCAACTACTTACAAATAATTTATTGATAACTTTGTCAAAGTTTTTCATATAAGTAAATGTGTTTTTCTTGCAAATTATTAAGTAGTTTAATTGTATTAACATGAATATGTTTTGGTAAATCTACTTGTGTAATTCCATGAAAAAGTGCTAATTTTGTGAAGACATAAAAGCAATATTTTACACGGTGGTTCTCATAACACATTGGAAATTACAGGAAGGTAGCAGTAAATATTTTATGATATAATAACTTAAATATGTGTTTTGAGAACCTTATGCATTAAGCTTTGGTAAGCGAACAAGCAATATTTGAAGCGATTCTCTTTGTGTAGACTTCACGATTTGTTAATCATTATGTTGTTACAAAGAAAATACATTCGTTATTACACACATATTTATATATATACTAATTTATGTGTATTTTCACCATCTTAATGAAGATTTATTATTTTTTGCAAAAATAATAATTTACGTAAATGATACTGACTATGCAGTATTTAAGTTGAAGTTGGAATATTTTGCTCAGCAAAAATAAAAATCATTGTAATTTTTATAAACTTTTATTCAGATATTTTACATAACAATTTTGATAACCCCAATTTAAGTTTAAAAAACAAAACAAAAAGATACATTTAAATACATAAGACGTTTTATGAAAAAAATATATATAAATTTATATATGTGAACTAGAAAAATATAAGATTGTAACTCTCTTCTTAAAAATTATAGAAAATGTGGGGTGTAGGGAAGTGCGATCCGTTGGCATCCTGGAGTTTAGTGACTGGGAACAAAAAGGGAAAAAAGGTGTCATGCATTGATCATTACTAGTAACTTCACAGCACTTTCCTAACAATTAATTAGGAAAATCTTGTGAGGAAAAACAGGGGGAAAATAATAAACAAAAAGAAAGAAATTTAATTGGATTTTTCATATTTAATTTAATTTTTTTTATGCACATGTAATTTTTAAATATTTTTATCATTTACTAAAATATAGCTGGGATCCTACTGGTATTATAAGGAAAATGCCCTTTCCTAAAAGTCATTACATGGACTGCTTGCTACAATGTGTTTAAATGGAAATTTTTAAAATCTATTTCAAATAAAATCCCTTAAATAATTAAAGTAAAGATATGTTAAGAAATATATATCATTTGTGTGTTTGTGGGTGTATTATATAAGAACTATTTGGTACTTACGCCTCAGCATTGCCAAATTGTTCTCCTTTGTCCATGCTGAGACATCCTGCACCTCCACCAAACCCATAGCCCTTAGGTCCGTATTTCCTTCCGTGGCACACCTTGCAGTACAGTTCACCTTCATGCTCTGCACAGTTGGTGGAGTCCAAGAATTTCCCGCACATGCCTTTGGAAGTGAATTTTAAATAAATCTTCTGGTACTTACTAAATTACTTTTATATATTATTGGATTAACCATTATTTCACAGTCTGTATCAGTTACAAATTAAAAACAATTCTTTCTGAAATTCTTAATCAAAAACAAAATAAGGAAAGAAAAGAATATTGTTGGCATAGTGGCTGAGTGTGTTATGTCAATATTTATTTCATATTAGTCCCATAAAAAAATTCATGGCATTTCCCAATCTAATGAAAAAAAAAAAGAGTTTCAACCTCTTAATAGCAGTTGTAAGATTGGAAACAAAAATTTACAGTATTTTTACTGTACAAATTTCCCAACCAATGAAAGTACCAGGATTGTAGAAAAATATCAATTGTGAAATATTTTATTTATATTGATATTTTTACTAATTTCAATTTGAAGTGGTCGGAAATCAAATTTAATAAGACAGGTTGATGAGTATATCAAATGTTTCTACATATTATTTCAAAGTCATTAATAAAAAAAAAATATAATTATTTTTTCTCCATAGCGTAAATACAATTGCTGTATTGATTATTGAACTATACTGTATAATAAACATTATCTCTTATTCATGAATGGATATGAATGTATGTCAGAAATGAATATGTATTTAAATAAAACAAATTTAATGAAATAAGTTCCTTCAAAAATCGGGGGGGGGGGGAGGGTGCTTTGGGGCTGAAGCCCCTAAATGGTAAAATATAACCATGTTTTATGGAAAAAAATATTAAAAAATTATCTCTTAAAGTATTATTGTTCCTGTAATTACATTTAAAAGGACTTTAGGAATCACTTAAACAACATTTCATATAGGTAGTCAGTTTCTTCCTTTTTTTCCAAAGTAATTATCATCATTTTTATGAAAAAAAAGCTTTCGGCCCCCAAAATTAAATCCTGGATCCGCTAGTGCTTCCCATATAAACAATTTTATAGAGATCTTAGTATTATATATTATCTAAAACAAAATTTTCAACGCTTACCACACTTGAAGCACATTTTGTGCCACTTCAGACCGCCGGCTACTCGCTCTTCTGCGGCATAGACGGATTTGCCACATTTTGGGCATTTAGGGTTCTCTGCTGGCTTGAAAGGCATTTTCGCTGATTATCTGAAACAATAATAGATTTTAAGTTAATAGTCACAAATATTTTGAAAGAGTTTGTCAGTGATTCTGGGTGAAGAAATCAAATTTATAAACGAACATTTCATGATTATTTACTTTTTGGTATTTGAAGGATTAAAAATTGGTCCTGAAGACAAAGGTAGACTTGTTTATAACCGCTTTTTGTTTGATATAGTTCAGATCATTAAACAAACAAATTTCTAAATCATAGGGTCCTTTAGAAAGGTTCCTCTTTAAATTAATTCACACGAGAAGCTTTGATAGAAGTTTACAGAAAATATAATTAATAATACTAGTGCATTGGATAATTGTTGCTATGCAGGAGAGGAAGAAGGAAAGGGTGAAGGATGCCAAGATCCGGGGCAATGCCAAGAAGGATCCAAGCCAAATTTGGAGCTGGCGAGGAGGGTGGGGCTCTCAGGTGACCAGCGACCAAAATACGTCCATCTTCCCCACCTCCCCTTTCTCCATATACCTCCCCCCTTCTCCCACACACACACACCACTCTCATTTCTATACTTCGGGACACTCCCATAATTATTTAAAGATTAACCATTTCAACAGCAAATAAAAGAAAACGATCTTCTGAAGATCCGACATTTTAAAACATCGCTATTAGTTATGTAGAAAAAAAGGTTTAACGGAAACTTGAAGTTTTGATTGGTATATTACCTAAAATAATTACGATTATCATTCATTGTTTTATTGCAGAGATAAATTTAAAAAAAAATTAAAATTATATATAAAATTTAAATCGGAAAGGCCTTACCTTAAAGAGTAGTTGTTTTATTTGAAGTTATATTTTTATCACTTCGATTTTTTTTTTAACTATATTGGTTTAAATTCAATTTTAATTTATAGATTAATAAAGCTACATAAATAATTATTAGCATGTTTTTATTTTGTAAAACACCGAGTTATTTTGAAATAAAACACTTTTTAACGGAATCATTGTTTAATACCTCTTCTAAGGAAAAGAAAAATATTAACTAAACGTGTTTTTGGAACAATCTAAATATCTCTAAACTAGTCAAAGAAATGTTTAGTTTAAAAATCATTTTTTGATTGTTGTTTATTCGCTTTATAAAAAAGCAATTTTTTATTATTAATTATAACTGTTAACTTATAAGATAATTCTTAATTTTAAACATATTACGTATGGTATACCAATCTAAAATTTATGCGAGAAGCTTAGAATGCTTTTAAAAAATAGGAACAAACATAGAATCTTGATAAAAACTTGGAATTAGTTAAATTTTTTAGTATTGACATATTCAAAGTTTACGTTTATAGAGTTGCATATTTTTAGTTTATTTCGTAAGTACTTTTGAGTTTCTCCAAGCCTTTAGTTTTTTTTTAATTTCAAGTTTAAGTTATTAGATATTTTGTTTTCTTAGCAATACATTTCGACTATATTACTTTTTACTTTCAATTATATTTTAGTTTAGAAAAAAAAAAACTCTTAACTATGAAAAAAATTAAATATATTTATCGAATGTTTTCTAAATTTGAAAAAAAAAAAATTAATACAAAAGTTTTAAAAACGATAACCAGTTTTCTTATAATTGGTTGTTTATATCGTATGGTATACGTAAAGCATTAATTTTTTATCATGTTGGTATATTGAAAAAGGGCAACATAAAGTTCTCCACGAAAATTAGCTTAAACACGTTATTATAAGGTTTGTGAGACATGCATTTAAATTATACCTGAAATAACAAAAAAAAACGAAGAAGATTCCGGTTTTTGTTTTCGTTTCCTCTAGTTTCACGTGTATATCCGCATTTTAAATAATTGAATAAAACTGTTTAAACTAAATTTAATTTATGTAAATTATATTTTACCTTCATCCATGCATTTAGAAAAATGAAGTTGATAATACGTTTATCTACTATCAAAAACGAAACAAAATATTCATTTAAAATAACTTTTGACGGGAATATAGTACATTAAGAAAAAACAAAACAATTTTTTTTCTGATCTGTAAGCACACTAAATTGCTCTAGAAGTAACTTTAGACTTCTTTATGGCTCTAAAAAATGACTACTTTTAAAATATGCATTGATTTTGTTTTTTCAAAAATTCTTTTATTAGACGTTTATTTTTTGCAAAGAATATTCCATTTCGTAATAAATGATTTCGATGAATTTTAAGTGGAGTAAATATTTTTGAAGGTTTCACAAGTTTTACACTCATATCACTTCCTTTAGGTAATTTAATATGTAATTGAATTTGTTCATTTTTTGTTAAAGTATACGGGCGAAAACACAAATAACCTTCCTATAATTTTAACCATATAACACAGCTAACTAAATATTACAGATCCCTTAAAAAAAAAGCTAAATTTTATTAAAAAATATATTATTTTTAAAAAAGCATGTGTTTGTTAAAACTTGAAATAAATAATTAATGGCGTATACCTTTTGATTTTAGTTCATTAGATTTTTGTAATAATTAATAAGAGTTAAAGAGGAAATGAAAATCATAAAGCTAAAGTAATATTAATTTATGCAATTAGAAATGTTTGCTATCAATATATTATTACTGATTTACGGATGAGGAAGTTAATAAAGGTTATTAATTATCTATAAAGTTATATACAATATACAAAACCAAAATGTTTAAGATAATAAAATATTAGAAGATTTCGTTACTGTTAAATTTCATATACACGTAAAGTTTTGATTTATTCTAGGGATGAAATGAATGAAAAATATTCATAAATAAAAAACTTAAACATTATCACTCAATAACTGTTCTTTTCTTATTAGGTACGGATTAAACAACATTTAATTTAAAAAAAATATTACAGATATAAAATAATAATTTAATAACTATAATGTTAACGGAATAATCAAAATATTAAAATTAGGAAGCTGGTACAACCACTCATGGATATTTAAGCTATAGTTGAACCAAGCTTTCCATTTATTCTGTTTCTATTTTTTTTTTAAATTAATATTCAATATGTTTATTTATGAGGCATATTTATTTTTTATTAATTATTTTGCTACTATCATTTTTCTCTTTTAATGTAGTTAATAGCAAAATTATTGAATTTAAAATATAAACAAGTGAAATGAAATGAAATTTTTTTTAGAAAAAAAAAAGAGGTTATTATTTTAGGTTTTTATCGTTTGTGGTCTTACCTTCTGTCGAAAGAATTCGTTGCAGCCGACGGATACACCTCACCACTATTACTTTACTACTGGTCCTCTCGAAGCCCGCAGCTCTTGTAAATAAGGTTCTCCCCTCCAAATCTTCTCCTCGCCTATGAATAGACTCCAACCCACCCCCACCCCCTCTGATTCACACCCTTTCCATTTATTATTTCTTTATTTTTACACTCCGTCTCATCTTTACGTAAATCCAATCACATTGCATATCTTGGCTAAATTAATAGTTCGCCTTGTGCCCTTAAAAAAAAAATCGTCAGTGCTTATGGAAGTTCAATGTGCAAGAGGAAGGTTAGCGAGTGGTGGGGAAATGTTTCGACCTTTGATAGGTTAGCGTCGGATCATACAACCCGGAGTTACTGACAACGCGTCATCGGCATCTACTTACTTCGTCGATTCTTTTCGTTATTGTTATTGTATTTATTATAATTATTGTTTTACACTTATTTGCCTTCAGGTCAATTTAATAAGTAATCACAACTAGTCTTTGATTACTATTTATTGATGGACGTTTCGGGAAATCTTCGTCCTCCTTTTCAGCAAATTATATACTCCCAAAAATTAGGTAAGTCACAATTATTAATAATAAGTTTGGTCAATGAATTATCAACATCTGTGGCTTATCCAATTTTTTTGGGGCATATAATTTGCTGAAGGGAGAGACAAAGATTCTCCGACACGTTGATGAATAAATGGTAATCAAAGACTAGTTGTGATTACTTATTATTGACTTAAAGGCAAATAAGTGTGAAAAAATATCTTAGAATAAATGTCAAAATTGGGCAATGGACAATTTTTTGTTTTGTTTTAATGACTACCTATGTGAAGCTAGTTTATGGTAAATCGGTATTTAATAATTAAGTAGTAAAAATTATTATTTAATTATTTTTCTCATTAGAAAACTTTTCCAATAGACTCTGATTTATTTATTTTCTGTGAATCTAAACAGTATTACTTAAAAATATCATCAATTAAACTCAGAAAATTAACTACCCATGGGAGTAGTATTTTGTTTTAAAACAATTTAGTTATAACAATATGTTTTATTTGTTAAATTATAACGCATATGCAGCTACTAGATATACACATGTTTTATGAAAAAAAAATCTCTGAAAATATTATTGTTCGTGTAAGTACTCTTTTTTTTTTTAATAGAGCTTCAAGAATCACTTAAACATCTGTATATATATATATATATATATATATATAAAGCTTTAGGGCTGAAGCCTCCCAAAATTAAGCCTTGGATTCGCTACCGCATCATAATAATCTCGACAAAATTTCAAGACATTTTCGTGTGTTATTGTTAAGCGGCCAGTCTTGAGAAAAATAATTTAAACGAATTAATATGCATTAATAAATTCGTAATATTTTTAATTTTGAGGGAAGGATGCATGACTAATAATCATTACAATATAAATTTATTATATTGTTTTTTAGATATTTGTTTGATCTCAGTTCTTTTGTACACAATAAAAAAAAAAACTTTGTTTAAATCAAATAATGTACAGATTAATGTACACCTATAACCAGGGGTACCCAGGAGGGGTTTGATGGCGCAAGTTGAGCCTTCAAAAGTTTGAGGGGTCACATTTTGAAGGGGTTTTGAATTTTTGAGGGGGGCACATTTCGAAGAGATTATGAATTTTCGAAATGAAAAGTTCCAAATCAGGAGACAAGAGGAAAGCATAGAACAGACCAATGAAAGTGTAAATTATATATCATCTACGGTTTTTAAAATTATACTTTAGCTTGCACTGTTATTAAGAAGAAGAGAGCAATAAAATATCTTAGGTCCTCCTAATGTATAATGAACCGGGGGGGAGGTTCATGCTCCATTAACCTTGGGGGGATAGGTACCCCTGCCTTTAACCTCTTTTCTTTTTCTATTCAATTAACGCTAAGTAGTGTTACCAACTGTATATATATTTATTTGATGGTTCTTTCAAGAAAAGCGTTGTAATAATAAATAACCAAGAATATTAGCAAGATTTAACATAGAACTGATAACTTGTTGGTATGGCATATCAATGATGAAAATAATTTTATCCCATAAAAAATCGGTAAATTTAATGTAATAAAAATAAATATACAGTAAATTAAATTAATAACAATAATTAAACAAACAATATGAGTTATTGTTAAGTAATTAGAAAATGGACTGCTTCTCCTACACAAGGGGTTTACAAACTACGGCCCGCGGACCGGATCCGGCCCTGATGCACCTTAATGCAATATAAAAATCGTTCGTTAATATTTTCCCTATTAAGTGCATTTTTTTATTATTTTTTTTTTATATATGTATTTATTTTTTTTTTTTTAGGCAATGAAAGGCAATGAAAATTATAATAACAAATCAGGTAGTTGAAAAATATATATTCTTCAATGTTTTATGCCTTAGAATTCTTAATAAATTGTTATTCAAAATTCAACAACGGAATTGTTGTTAACGATCTGGGTGCTTAATCTTTCAAAGTACACTGCGATAATATATTAAAAATGTCGTCCGACAAAAGAAAAACATTTGTAATTTTTTTTTTGCAGCTATGTAGGCAATGAAAGTATTTTTCCATTTATCATCGAGAATTTTCGCGAAAGATTGTTGTCGGGTTATCAGAAGAACAAAACAAAGGAGGAAGGATTTCTAAGGGAAAAAGTGTACAAAGTTTAAACCGCTACATCTATTTACTTTATTATTGTATTTAGTTTTATTGTTTCGGTGTCTTTGCTTAACAGTGCCAAATCATAGGCATAACCGAGTACGGATATTTTTTCACCCAAACCTTTTTCCGCACGCATCACCTCTCTAATGGCATGCTATAGTGCTAAATTAAATATGAAAGATGAAAGTGAATCACTTTGTTTTAAACCCGAAAGAACTAAAAAATTCTCGAAACAAATAATTACTAATTAAAACTTAATTGAATATTTTTTTGGAACTTTGGAATTTTTTTTTGGAATTTCCTTGCTCAATTAGAATATTATAAAGTTTCTGATGGCCAACGGAATCATAATCCTTTTTTAAATCTATATAAATCTGATAAACAAAATACTGTCGTACTCCAGTTTTTCTCTCTAATATTTGCTCTGTAGGGTATGTCATAATCATTCAAATTAGCATAATTTAACTTTTTTTTTTAAATGTATACTTTTTGAGTTAAACCTATAAAACAAAAAAACACAACAAATTAGGTCCACTCGTTAAAGAGATGGTCATAGCTCACTGTTCCAGCAGTGCGAAGGTTTTTTTAAAGTGTTTTGGAACAACGATTCTAAAACAGTTAATATTTTTGTCCTATCTTCATAAATTGTATATATATAGAGGCGTATAAAATTCCTAATCGGCAGCAATTTTGGAACGGAACATTTTGGGTCTGGGGTGGAATTATTTTTGGGATCCCCTGAAAAATCCGCTGGTATGAGGGGCCCCCTTTGTAAGTATGGGCCAGGGCGGGTTTAGTATTGACGAGCCTTAAAAAAAAAAATATATTCTTCAATGGTTTATGCCTTAGAATTCTTAATAAATTGTTATTATATTACATTGTAACGATCTAGGTGTTTAATTTTTCAAAGTACATTGCGTTAACTTGTAAAACATGTATTTTTTTTTTTAAGCAATCATTCTAAAAGAAATGCTATGCCTCTTTAATACTTAGGCACCGCGAAATCCGCGTTTTTATTGCTATTTGCTTTTTTGTTTTCATTTTAACTGCCTTTTCCACAATATTATTTTTAATAATTGTTTATCCTATACCTATCGTATTAATGGACAATATTTACATTATGTATATAAATAGTATGGCCACACTGTTTATGTCATTACGTGATGCACATTTAATTCGCTCTTCATTTGGTTTTAAATAATACGACTATCAGAGAATTCTACTCAATCATCTTTTTTGGTATTTCACTTTCGCACAGCCAAATGCTTTGGGACATAACCGTTTATAAATTGAAATATTTTATTTAAATTTAACCATGAAATAGACAATACTTGAGTTAGAGCAAATCACTTTATTTAATTGACGTTCAGTTCATTTTTTTTTATTAATCGATAGTTACAGTTATTTGTGTAAATGGTGTTGAAGAACTTCATTTTTATTAGATTTTCAACGGTCATTAATAGCTCACTGTGAGCACAGCCTTTGGTAATTTAACTTTATAATTATTGTAAGTATAAATTTTATTTTATGGTTTTTGCATTTTTCAATAGAGAAAATATTTTCTGAAAGATGTATAAATAAGTCATGTTAAGTAAAATTATGAATTATCAAATTCGAATATTGGATAAATATCGAGCTGTGATTTAATTCTATATTTTTAAAATAATATGCTTGTAAATAATTTGCAATTATTTGTAGAATTGCTGATATATTTAAGGTTGAAACTATCTTATTTCTTGTTATCATTGCAAATTGTGTTTGAAAAACTGTAATTTGAATATTTTAATTTATAATACAAAATGAACATTGTATGTCATTGTCAATTAAAAATTATAGTATAATTTGTTGCTTTTCTGCATTTATTTTCCTTCTCATTTATCTATTAGAGACTTTAAATTTAGATGTTAAAGTTCATATCAGACTGAAACGACAAGGACCCGTTCAACGTTTCCGATTACTTCAGCACTTACTAGACTAACGCTCTAAACTTCTAATTAATTACAAAAGACTCATATACATGACTATGATAAGGCCTATTTGGACTTACAGAGTTGAGCTATAGGGCTCCACTAAACCATCGAATTCCTCTCGTATCCAATCCTTACAATCCAAAATCCTTCGTAAAATCCTCAATGCTCCCTACTTTGTTACAAATAAAACCTTCCATAATGACCTTAATGTTTCTTATGTTTCAGATCTGGCCCAATCCAGATACCTATCCTTCCATAATAGACTAAAGTTAAAGTTAATCAGCCCATGAAATGCAGCTGGTTATGATAAATTAAACTTCGAACCCTCTCCACCAGCACAAGCTATATTTGTTTTTACATATGAATATTAACTACCCCCTTTCGCTAAACTTTGAAGTTAATTTATGAATGGTTTATACAAATACAAAAGAATTGATAATCAGTAAT